TACATACTGAATAAGTATGGAGAAAGGATGCAACCCTGACACACACCTTTCTTGACTGTAAACTATGCACTATCCCTTGCTCTGTTTGAACAACTGCCTCTTGATCTATGTACAGGTTCCTTATGAGCACAACTAAGTGTTCTGGAATTCCCATTATTCCCAATATTATCTATAATTTGTTATGCTCCACACAGTCAAATGCCATTGCATAGTCAATAAAACACAGGTGAACATCTTTCTGGTATTGTCTGCTTTATCCGTCTGACATCAGCAATGATATCCCTGGTTCCACGTCCTCTGCTGAATCCGGCTTGAATTTCTGGCAGTTCCCTGTCCATGTACTGCTGCAACCATTTTTGAAATATCTTTAGCAAAATTTTACTTGCGTGTGATATTAATGATACTGTTCGATAATTTCTGCATTATATTGGATCACTTTTCTTTGGAATGGTCACAAACATGGATCTTTTCCAGTCGGTTGGCCAGGTAGCTGTCTTCCAAATTTCTCGGCATAGACAAGTGAGTGCCTTCAGCGCTGCATCTGTTTGTTGAAACATCTCAACTGGTATTCCACCAATTCCTGGAGCCTTGTTTTTCGCCAGTGCCTTCAGTCCAGCTTGGACTTCTTCCTTAAATACCATCGGTTCTTCGTCATATGCTACCTCCTGAAATGGGTGAATGTCAAGCAATTCTTTTTGGTACAGTGACTCTGTGTATTCCTTCCATTTGCTTTTGATAATTCCTGTGTCATTCAATATTTTGCCCATAGAATCCATCAAAATTGCAACTCGAGGCTTGAATTTTTTCTTCAGTTCTTTCAGTCTGAGAAATGCCAAGCATGTTCTTACCTTTTGGTTTTCTAAATCCAGGTCTTTGCACATTTCATAATATTTTACTTTGTCTTCTCCAGCTGCCCTTTGAAATCTTCTGTTCAGCTCTTTTATTTCATCATTTCTTCCATTCACCTTAGCTACTTGACATTCAAGAGCAAGTTTCAGAGTCTCTCCTGACATCCATTTTGGTTTTTCATTCTTCCCTGTCTTTTCAATGACCTTTCACTTTCTTCATGTATGATGTCCTTGATGTCTTCCCATAACTCGTCTAGTCTTTGGTCATTAGTGTTCAATGTGTCAAATCTATTCTTGAGATAGTCTCAAATTCAGGTGGGATATACTCAAGATCATACTTTGGCTTTCGTGGACTTAATTTTCTTCACCTTCAACTTGAACTTGCGTATGAGCAATTGATGGTCTGTTCCACAGTGGGCCCCTGGCCATGTTCTGAGTGATGATATTGAGCTTTTCCACCATCTCTTTCCACAGATGTAGTCAATTTGATTCCTGTGTTTTCCGTCTGGTGAGGTCCATATGTATAGTTGCTGTTTATGTTGTTGAAAAAGTATTTGCAATGAAAAAGTCATTGGTCTTGCAAAATTCTATCATGTGATCTCCAGCATTGTTTCTATCACCAAGGCCATATTTTTCAACTATGAATCCTTTTTCGTTTCCAACTTTCACATTCCAATCACTAGTAATTATCAATGCATCTTGACTGCATATTTGATCAACTTCAGACTGCAGAAGTCAATTTCCTCACCTTTGGCATTAATGGTTGATATGTAAATTTGAACAATAGTCGTATTAACTAGTCTTCCTTGTAGGCATATGGATATTACCCTATCACTAACAGCATTGTACTTCAGGATAGATCCTGAAATGTTCTTTTGGAGGAGGAATGCAACGCCACTCCTCGTCAATTTGTCATTCTGGCATAGTAGACCATATGACTGTCTGATTCAAACTGGCCAAAACCAGTTCATTTCAGCTCACTAATGCCTAGGATATCAATCTTTATGCATTCCATTTCATTTTTGATGACTTCCAATTCTCCTAGATTCATACTTCGTACATTCCATATTCCAATTATTAATGGATGTTTGCAGCTGTTCCTTCTCATTTTGAGTTGTACCACATCAGCAAATGAAAGTCCTGAAAGCTTGACTCCATCCACATCAAGGTCGACTCTACTTTGAGAAGGCAGCTCTTTCCCAGTGGTGTTTTGAATGCCTTCCAAACTGAGGGGTTCATCTTCAGCACTGTATCAGACAGTGTTCCGCTGCTATTCATAAGGTTTTCACTGGCCCGTTTTTTCAGAAATAGACTGCCAGTTCCTTTTTCCTAGTCTATCTTAGTCTGGAAGCTCCACTGAAACCTGTCCACCAAGGGTGACCCTGTTGGTATCCGAAATACCAGTGGCAAAGCTTCCAGTATCACAGCAACACGCAAGCCACCACAGTACGACAAACTGACAGACAGATGGTGGCATATTTACATAAATCATAATAATCAAATTATTGTTGACTGGTTTTCAACTTTCAGAATCAATCGATAGATAATGTACAAAAGTCTTAATTATGGTTACAGAATGGGATATATATGTCATCCATCTTGAAAATGTAAAGTAAAGATATAACAAAGAAGAAAAGCAGACACAGGCTGGAAGGTAGGACGGGATACAGAGACGAATGGAAAGACAGGAATGTAAATATCCTCAACTTCAACGTGAGGAATCAAGAGATACTGTCAAGAGTGGATAGAATAATAAACAGAAGTTTATAGTTTTTAGAAGTTACAATAGTCATCAAAAAAGGAATTAAAACAGTGATATCACTATCAAAAATGGTGGTGGGGGTAAGTGGTACAAAATGAGATAAATCTTCATCCGTTGCAGCAAATTCGTCACTAGTGATGTCTAAGGTTGAAAACTCAAGAGATAATGGTGTAAGAATATAGAGATACAGAATTCCTAACAAATGATCTTAGAAATGGGTAAATGTGACTTTGGGGAAACAGGAATAGGGTGGGGAAGGGCAAAACTAAAGAGCTTCCATTATACGCACTTCTAGACAACTGGAATTCTGAACAGTGCAGTTATAATTTTGATTAAATAATCTTAATGAAGTTTAAAAATAACTCACAGGGAGGATGGAAGAGGGAGTCATTATTTAGGAAGCACTGACTATGGTTTATAGTGATGGAAAATTTGGCAATGAACACTGGTGATGGTTGCACAACATAATTATTGTAATTGGTGTCACTGAATTGTACATGTAAAAAATGTTGAACTGGCAAATGTGTCAAGTATATTTTTACAATAAAAATATTTTTTTAAATAAAATATCAAAACCAAGTTTACTACTGTAACATTAATTGTACATACTGGTCTTCACTGTTAATACTTATCCATGGTTAAGCTTCTATGGTGTTTTACTATAACGTAGCTTCTAGACCAATAGAGATGAATTTTATATTTCAGTTACTGTCGTATAATGCTAAATTCATATAGCATAATTCACCTATTCTAAAACATACGTTTCTCCTTTTTTTTTTCAATGTCATTGAAATCAGGATTGATTCATTTAACCTGCAAGATTTTTTTTTAGTGGTACATAAATTATGGCGACATCTCACAATCAATGCTATCTTAAATTTGGTGAAATCCGATACTTGTAGGGAATTATATGTCTAGGTAATTTTCCCTTATGTTACTTTATCAAAACATAGAATGTTACATCTTTTTTTAATATTCTGTCCCTCCCTCATCAGCCACATATGAGGTAGGTATTTATTTATAATAAGATACAAATGTTAGTTTTTTCCTGAACACCTCGGGGTCTTTGGCCTAGCTGCTCCCTGGAAAGTCCCTACCCCACACCCCCAATCCTGCTCGTCACACAGCTGGCTCCTTCCTGCCATCCAGTCTCAGCTCAGTCTTGCTCTTCACACGGCTGGCTCCTTGTCATCTAGTCTCAACTCAGTCCTGCTCTTCACACAGCTGAATCCTTCTTGTCACCCAGTCTCAACTCACTCCTGCTCTTCATACAGCTGGCTCCTTCTTGTCACCCAGTCTCAGCTCAGTCCTG